TTCAGCGCTGTGGCCCATCCAGCCCGTTCTGTTAACACCGCTCACAGGCAGCTCAGTCATGAACTGCACGCACTGGGAAAAGTGTCTTTGTTAAAGTGCGCCGTATTTTTCAAATACAATTGTATTCGCAGGACACTTCAAATATAAAGCACATATGTATAATAAGAGTTTCTCAGCACCCCCTGAAAAGCCTTTTCCTTTGATATTCCCCTCCCAAGCTGGAGATGAGCTCCTTGACATCATGCCTCAGCCAGGAGTCGTCTGGCCTTTGCCTTACGGTGAAGCTGAGTGTCTCCAGCCCAGATTGAATCCTCTCATCCAGCCCTTACAGCCGGCCGTTATCCCCCAGAGCGCCAGCCCCCGTGTGCCCCCGCCCTGAACACCCACACTCTCCGCCAGGAGCGCGTTCGGCACATGGAGGTGAGCTTTGTCCGGCTGCCCTGGGCCACCTGTGCTCCCTGTGTAGCTGTAGTTGTGTAACTGGTGAAGCTGTATTTCCAGCAGTGATGCCTCACAGCAATCTGGGCCCTTTCTTTCTCCTGTGAAAACAAAATCAAACATTCCCATCAAGCGCTTTATTTTGTGTCCATGTAAAAAAAAAAAGTTCTAGCGAAAATCCTAAAACTCTCCCCTGCTCTGCTGGGCAGGGGGCTGCTCTTCAGCGGGGGATGAAAGAATGAATTCATGCCAAGACTCCCCACTAGGAGTTTGAGGTATCGTGCCAGGGACACGACCTTGAGCTGGTACTGCACCCCACTTGTTCCAGTCCACCCAGTTGTAAAACTGGGCACTGGCATTCCTGAGGGGTAACTCTCCCGCCCAAGGTGGGCCACGTGCTCTCAGTTCACGTGCCGCTGCAGACGGCCAGAGAGGCTCGTCCTGATGGGACTGGAGGCTTCAGTCTGAACTTCAGGGCTTGTCTTTTGCACTTGGAGGCACAAACCTGTCAATGCTGGCTGCTTCCTCCACCGAGCCCAGCTGCGGGAGAGCTCACCTGGCCCATTCAAACTGGCTGCAAAGACCCACAGATGCGCAGGCATGAAGGAATGCAAGCCCACTGCCCCACGTGCGCAGTTCCCTGGACAGGAGAAGGCGGTCAGAGGTCTGTGCTCCCAGCGTGGACAGGAAGCTACAGATTATTACAGAGCACAGCAGCAAAATGGTGCCTAAAAATAGAGGATAAAACACACTTGGCTGGAGAAGAACAGCAGTAAGTGTTCCGAGCGCTCCTACCCATCGCACTGCCTTGTATTCGTACCCAGAGTGGACTCACTGCCCTCTCCAGCAGCACGTGTCGGGCCCAGCATCCTCCCAGCCCTCTCCTCACGTTATTGCATTTTATTTCAACGCCGCGCCGGTCATTGCAACTTTCTGTGCCGGCCTGCAGCGGTCATGCTAAGGGCATGCAGTCCGTTAGGCAGCAGGGTCCCTGCAGAAAGTCCAGGAGCCCGCTGGTACCTGCAGTGCTTGTGCTGGCTCAGGCGCCACAAGGGTGATCAAATTCTCGACTGACTTACACAACATTGTGAACTGTTTAGTAGGCTTTGCTGCAAGTAATTGTGATTGTCTGTGACACAAAGCAGTGCAATGAGTCAGTGAGTCACTGAAGTGGCTGTTGTGAGGTTCAGGGCTCTCCCTGCAGCGCAGTGGCGTGGTCCCAGGGGGTCGCAGTGACCAGAGCGCAGCTCGCCACCCACCTGCACGAGGGGCTGACACTTTCCCCGCGCTCGAACTGTACTGCTGTCTGACCCCAGAGATCAGGAGGACGTGCACGGAGGCTCGATGGCATTTGTCGTTTTGCACTTACCGCAGTTCTAAATGTAACTTATTTTGTGACTGTAGTGCAGGAGGGAGGGGGCGGGGACCGCCTGCGGGAGCTAGTAATTCTCAAACTGGGAATCTTGCCGAAGAGGAAGTACAAGAGGAAGAACAGGACTTTCACACACAGCAAGCATATGAATATTGATTCAGAATCTCGAGCTTCCTTATTTGCGGTTCGGTAGGCTTTTGTAAAAAAAAAAATGTCGTGTTACATCAGTTCAGATCTGCTTCCCGCAGTCTTAAGATTCCCAAAGATCACCGAGCAGGAAGTCCCTCTCCTTTCCTAAACTCTGGCGCAGCCGAGGTCTTTGTGCAGATTTCCGACACGCGGAGCCCGGCGCAGCCGAGACAGCTCCCGCAGCCCAGCTGCCTGCCTGCCTGCCTGCCTGCCCACCTCCACAAAGGCCCATTCAGGAGCTGCGCGCAGGCGGCTGCAGGCAGGCGCGCCCCCGCAGCCCATATATGGAAGCCATTTCCGCGCGGGTGTCCTGTAATGCTACCCGCCCCCCGCGCGGGCATTCCTTTCTGCAGACAAAAGGCTTTTACAGCCTTCCGTGCATTTCGCCCCTGGCTGTTTATACCGTGTGCCTCTCGCCACTCTGAGTGGACTTATACAGCTCTTCCAGTTTAAGACCTCTACCCTGCTCAATTTAGCTAGCAATGTACGTATATGCACAGAATGTACTGTAGTACATTGCATTTTCTTATTGTAAGAGACATTAATAATGCATTATATTTACTGTGCTGTTGGGGTAATATGTTGCTTAACTTTGTAAAGTTATTTAAAGTTTTTGCTGCTGGCTAAGGTTCACATACATGCTTTGAATGGCACATCCAGTCCAGTCAGGGAAACACACGCCTGTCCTGCAGAAATGCAGCCGTGCCTTAAGAACAGGGAAGTGTCAAGTTCATAACCTAGTATCGGGTTGTGTTATTTCGCGCCCGGCCTGTTGCAACCCGAGCTCTGAATTATTACCTCACTGGTGCGGTTTTATTCTCGTCCAGCGCGCTGTGGTAATATGGGGGACCCGGCGCAGGAGAGAGGGGTGGCCGAGACGGGTTTCCTGTGGGGCCGCGCTGGTGTGGAAACGAGCTGCGGTCCTGGGCTCTCTCTGCTCGCTGCAGATAAGCCCGTGGCGCGAAACTCGGGCGGAAGTTGGGAAACCTTTGCATGACCTTTGGAGTTTCGCTAAACTTTATGAATGAAACGGGACCATTAACTCACCTCCTGCAAGCCAAGCGCCGTGTGTCATCATAAACGCATCTGGTGGACGGTAGTACTGTAATACAAACATGACATTTCCTTCCTTTCGGATCCAAAATAGTTTGTGCATTCTTATAGCTGTGGGCCGTGCCCTTTCTCACTTTGTAAGATTTGCACTCTGTGTGATGTAAAAAAAGAAAATAAAAAATCCTGTTCCAAAGTTGCAATTAAAACCGTTTTTTTTTGCGGTGTTTCTTGGGCAAAAGTCTTCATGCGGCTGATAATGAGGGGAGAGGGAGGGGGGGAATACATTGGGAATTTATGGGAATTAAAACGCAGCTCCCTTACAGGAATGGAGCTGGGTCACGGAACAGCGTCCCGACACGGTCACTATCAAAGTCTCTCCCAGCTGCTCCGTCACGACACGGGTGAGCGCGCAGCAAGCGGGCTCGTCAAGTCGAGGAGCTCAGAGTCTGGCAGCGCCTGGAAAACAGAGTCCAAACCGAAAATGAAGAAGAAAAAAGCCACGCCCTTTGTTCCCACGCAGTCCAGACTGTTCCCACGGAAGAAAGAACATTTTGTAACTTTGTGAGCCGTTCTGGAGGATACAGGTAGGGAGATAAGGCACGTTGGCAGGTTGAGGCAGGCGGGTGTCGAAAGCTGCCCCCCCTCTCCGGCGTGCTGTGGGATCGCAGGCGCTCTCCCATGAAGCGCAGACCCCGAGAGACAGGCTGGGCTCCCCTACCTGCGCGCAGGGCTCACGGCGCTCGGAAATACCACAGGGGTCAATTTAAAGCTCTGACAACTCCGGCGCGGAAAACGATTCAGAAGCAAAACCCTTTCGCTCGTCCGTCCGTTCATTCGTTCATTCATTCATTCATTCGTTCATTCAGGGATTCAGCGAAATTCTCCAGAACCCAGCTGCCGCAAGAGCGACCCAAAACAAGTCACCTCACCCCCCCACACTGGTTTACAGTTTCAGCAGCTGCTTCGGATCGCTGTGGTCCTCGAGTCATCCTACACCCCCGGGGCGTGCAGCGGGGTCCTACCCTGACAGCCCGAGGTAGCTGTACCCCTCCAGCCTCGAACGGAGACTGCGAGGGGACCCTGCAGACGTCTTCACGGTGAACAGCGAGACCGTGAGGGCTGCAGTGGAAACGGGTGGGAGTGCATTCAAACCGAGAAGGAGGGGTGGGGGTGGGAGAGACTTCCTTTACACGAAGAGTGGCAGGAGTGTGGAACAAGCTGCCCGCCCACGGTGCCGCAGTATTAGCGCAAGGGGCGATCTGGTGTGGTTGTGCTTTGAGATTCACCAGAACAGACCTGTATGATAATCACACACGTGAGCTCAGGGGTTCCCAGACAGCTCTTGGGGACCCCCACCTGCCTGCTGTCATTCCAGCTCAGCTGCCAGTTGCGTAATATAGCCCTTAATTGACCTACTAATAACATTTAATCGTCCTCTCTGATTGTTATCACAGCTCCTGGGCAGGTTGGGGCTGGCCTGGTGTTGCATAGGAAACTGAAGATCTCCCCCCGACTGGCAGAGGGGTCCAATCCAGAGGTCGGCTAACCCGAGGGCAACCCCAGCAGGGTTGGTGATCCCCCAAAGCAGGGCTGGGAACCTCGGGGTACCGCCTGTCCCCAGGAGGTCTGAGCCCCCCCAGTTCCACACTCCTCTCGGTGCATTCACCCCCCCGCAGGGACAGCAGACCAGGGCTCGGGGTCGTTAAAAACACAAAACGGAGCCGATCGGAGAAAAGCACTCGCTGGGAGAGAGACCTTTAGACCCCGAGTGGGGCGGCAACAGTGTGTCAGTCCCGTGTTCACGTGTCCTGGGAGTTCAGCTGCCCGGGTCACGCGTTCGCGGCGTGTCCGTGGAGTGCTCGGTCACGTGAATTGTGCGGGATACCTGTCTTTGAGAGCACTACTTTCTTTGAGCAAAGCGATTCCCCCACCCCCACCCCCACCCATCAGCACACAAAGCGCCCCGGATTCTTTGAATAGCAGGGCAGAACTGAGCTCTTGGCGAGTGTTGTGTTTACAGGTACGCGGGACCGGTAAGTTCAGAAAACCACCCCTGGCAGGTAGCCATTAAAAATAAGATGGGTGGAACAAGCACACCACTGTGCTCGTATATGTGAATGATTTGGACTGAGCAACAGTAATGTCCTAAAATATCAGCGTTTGCATTTGCGCTTCACACTAGGAAGTTTCTAACAGTTCTAACAGCGCCGACAGTTCCTCACGAATGACAGCATGCACTGTGAAATCGCGCCGCTGCTTGAACCGCGGAGCTTAAAGAACAGCCATTTTAGGCTGCCAGTCGTGTGCGTCTCGGTCCGGAACGCCCGTCTGCGCAGATCCCTGCCGGCCTGCGCAGCGCGGCTCGCGGGGCGCAGATTCCACGAACGCGCCTGCAGTTCTCAGGAATGCCGGAGCAGGCTCGCGTAGTGGACTCCTCCGCGGACCTAGGCGCGCGGTCTCGCCGGCCCCAGGCCCGGACCGCCCGGACCGCCCGGCTCGCGGGCGGGCCGCCCCGCCACTGCAAGCCGCCCGGGTTAATTTGGGGGTGCGGGGCACGCGGCCGAGCGCCCGCTTCTGCCCCCCCCAGTTTTGGCGGGTTTTGCTGCGAGGAGGAAGACGGGGTGTGCCGCGGTCTATATAGCGGAGAGGAGACAGCTGTCAGACCTGCCCTTTCTGCGAGTGGGGCTCTGGCGTCGTGCATGCACGGCTAGACTGAGCCACACGGACTGCTTGCGTTCCTGCCGCTCTTTGTGTTTTCGGTCTGTTTCTGACGTCCTGTCTGGGTCTCCCCGGCGCTGCCCCCCCCTCTTTGAGAAGGTAAGGCGTGCGCGAGGGTGTCCGCCGCCGGTCAGCAGCGCGCGTGCTTTGTCTCGGCTCGTGGGGAGGATCGTGGTCCGGCGTGGGTGCAGCGTGCGCGGCGCGTTCCCCCCCGCCCTCGCCTCTGCACGCCTGAACTTTCTTTCAGCCGGCTGGACACGGGCACGACACGGGCACGCAGGGGACGGGGCTGGGGGCCAGCCGGTCAGGCCGCGCAGGGGTGTGACAGCCGCTGCCCGTCCGGTGCTCTTCCTCCGCAGAGCCCCCGGGGGCCGGTGACTCGGGCGTGAGTGTCCACGGTGACTCACGCTGCCTGGACCCGGGCTGTTCGTCAGCTGGCGCAGCGGGGCCGGTTCTGCGCTGCGGTCCAGAGCTGTGCTGTTTCTCTTCTCTCTCTCCCCGGATCCCTGGCCGCGAGCTGCGGCTCGTGCGGTGCCGGCCCGGATCCGCAGGGTTCGTGGGCAGCGGTGCCGGGGGGTCCGGGTTACGTGAATTTACAAACTGCAGGAGGAGGGCGGCCCCTCTGGAAACTCGCGTGCGGTTGTTGCCAGTTGGGGGTGGGGGGTGGACAGGTTGGAGTGTTTTGGGGGTGAAACTTGAAACGTTCCGAACCGACCCTGGAACTTTCCAGCTGTTCGGATGATATCATAGAGCCGACATTAGCATAACCACTCCCCCACTACTACAGCCCCTCCCACCGCCCTCCCGGGGGGCGGGGCCACGATGTAAACATGTGTAAAACCGGCTTGTCGCGCCGGTGTGAGTGCAGGCAGGGCGCTCGGCGACCGCGGACGGGGCAGGCTCTTTAAACAATACAGGCTGTGCTGCTGGACCAACAACTACAACACAAGCAACATCCGGCTGCTAGTCGTGTCTCACTAAAACAAAAACACTATTTTTTGCGTTGTTTGCCAGTTCGCGACGCGGTGACTGCACCATGCCTCAAAGCTGCTTATCCCCGTGTCGGGACTGGGACGGCAGCTCGGAACCGCTGCTGTTCGACGAGGAGTTCTGCCGGGTGCTGCTCAAGGACTTCCAGATGTTCCCCACGCCGCCCCAGTCGCCCCCGATCAAGCCCGGGTTCGAGGAGCCGCTGTCCACGCTGGATCGGCTGGAGCTGATGTCGGAGCTGCTGATGGAGGACCCGGACTTGATCCAGCACAGCCTCGGCTGGCCCGGCGAGCTCTCGCCGCCCCGCGGGGCCGCCCCGCCGGCCGGCGGCAAGGACCAGCGGCCGGCCGTGTCGGAGGACTGCCTGTGGCGCGGCGCGTCGGAGAAGTGCGCCGAGGAGAAGCTGTCCGCCAGCCCGCTGCTCTCGGATATCGACACCCGCATCTTCGAGGAGATCGCCGCGACCACGCTGGACTGCCACGGGGCGGCGCTGGCGGGCCCGCTGCAGGACAGCCTGGAGCGCAGCGCCTGCTCC